CCGGTAGTGCTGGTGCCCGTAGGAGTCGATCTTGAAGATCTGCACGGCACGGAGATCCCGGAAGACCAAGACCTCCTTCCACACCTTCCCACGTACCTCAAAGCATTGGCACCACAAGCCCATAAGAACGGCCACCAATTCCGCCCCCAACTGGGGGGTGCCTCGAATCATGAGCAATGTAGGGATGCGTGCCAAGCATCGGCCCGCAATTGAACAGCATGTTGCGTGCACCATGCCGCCAAGAGGCCTTTGGATTGACAGCGGCAAGGAGGACTACAGAGGCACTGGGATCCGTTTCCTCCAGCAAGAAGAATAAAGTGTCTTGCGGCACCACGGGGCGGACGAAGAATTTCAACCTGTCATGGCTGAAATGCAGGCTTGCCATCATCACACCGCACCTCAGAATTGAATGATTGAGTTTCGCGTCTGTAGTGGACGTGCAACCCATGCTTGTCGCCACGTTCTTCTTAACAGAAATTAGCATGGCTCATGGCTGGAAGTCAATGCAACTGCTCACTGGCTGGCTCAATGCTCAATGCATGCTTTCGAAAGCCCAACATCACTTCTAGGATAGTTGTTCAAACATGGCTGCAGCAATCGCTCGGCGGCAAACAGTAGAAAGAACAACTGATTCAACATTGCTTCCCTCTAGTTTGCATTTCTCACCATGCCTGCCAAATTGACATGCATGTCTACGCTGCATTGCTATGGCTCGTGGCTGCACAAAGCGTATCGCATGAAGTTGCCCCGCATGCGATGGCTATGTTCATGGGCCCCATGGGCTGCACCCATGGGCACATGGCTGAGGTAGATCACCCCAAAGGTGTCGGGTCCCCAAGTAAGATCAACACCCCGGCATCGCACTGAAGCCGCTTGCCTGACAGGTTCGAAGAGCTGTGGCACCCAGGCTTCGTGCTCCTCAAAATCCTGGACAAGTCCACGGATTGTCTGAAAGCCGGGCAACAAAAGTATGAATGTGAATGCAAGGCTTTGCGTCTTCGGCATCTGAGCTTTTAAACTTATCTGCGTGGTTGACTTGAGAGGCAACTAGCTACGGGTACCTTTCCCCCTGAAAATTATCAGATTGTCAGCAGCGTCTGTGCCCAGGCCCGCTGCAGTCTGTGCCCACTGCCTTTGCAGTCGCAGCTCCTCCATGTCGTACAGTCGGACATAATCGCCAGTAAAGGGCAAGTTGGCAGCTGGAACGCCTGCCAGTGTGAAGGCATGCTTCTCGCAGGTTGGCAGCAGCGAGCGATGCTTCGGCGGCATTCTGCATGTTGTGCACCAACTATAGGCAGCGTTCAGTATAGTTGTGGATTAGTTGTGACTTTGTGGTGGTTGCCTGAGAGTGCTCCCTGGTGCTTCCGGCAGGCCCAACAGAAAAATGGCCAAAGGCAACCAGGCCTTCCCATCGGGTGATGCGATAGGGCTGGGACCTGCAGCCGGACGTTGGTCGAGGAGTCACGGCACCACAAATCGTCCCACGCCCCGTGAATACTAGAACCATACCAAGTGGCAAAACATGCCATCGTACTACTAAAAAAAACATATCTTCTGCTTTGCATCCAGCAAGTCATGCCTTCTTCGTTGCTTCTGCATCCCTGACGCTTGCTGCAAGCGTCGATTTTCAGTGGCTGGCTTCCTGTGCTTCATCAATCACTAGTGGTTAATTCACCCATAAACAAGTGGTCAATACCAGGGCTCTCCCCTCTCTCTCTCTCACCCTTCGTGTTGCAAATTAGGTCCCAAATTTAGCAGCACTGTTGCCCAGGAAGCTCAGACTTAGCTAGAAATGATTTTCCAATGGCATCTTCCGCTCATATAAACGGCTACCAGCACTGAGCTCCCGGCAGCAGCTCCCTCACGCGCACCAGGTTGGTGCTCAGTAGCGCCGCGCACTGCACTGTCTCCGCCTGAACTGAAGAAAAGGAGCCGTTGATCTACAGCGTGCCAAACATGTCCACAGCCAGGCATCTCCTTAAAGCCGACTAGTGCATAGAATCATTGAGTTTGCACAAGCTCGCTCTGTGCACTTGACGGCACTTGATTCAATTTCGAAACTAAAAAAATACGGGCTGTACGAGTCACTGTATGAGATTCATGTACCGTACTTACACCAATGCATGAGCTGGACCAAAACACCAAAGTACGTCGCAGCACGCCTGCAGCACACAGCTCGTTTGCCTCTTCCGAAACATGCGCCGGTCACATCCCAACCCCTAAAGGATGCTTACTAATCAGCCCCTTTGGTTGCCATGCAACTTCCCTGGCACAAAGAATGCGCCGCTAGCACATTGCCGCAGCCATCTCTCTGGCTTGGTGTTGAATTGCAGCTGGATTGCTGACATCAGGTTCGCAGCAAATCTCCAGCTGCTTGAGCATGGCCTTCAACCGCTCGCGATGGACTGAGAGGCTTTCCTCTGGCTCGCAGGCATCATAGCGACAAACGGTGATGTGCAATTGCTGCAGGAAGCGATCCCGTCGGGCCCTCATAGCCAGTTCCTGACTTGAAGCCTCCGCAGCATTGAACTCAGTTGCTTCAATATTCACAAGACTTCCATCATCTGCGGCCAACACCATGCCCAAAGTTGGGCCCATGGGGTGCTGCTGATTTGTGCGCAGCCCTGTGGTTAGAGAGCGAACAGCTTCTGCGCATCTCTGCTGAAATGCCGATGCCTGGACATCGCTGTTGCGCAGCTCGGTCCATCCATGCAGGACCGCGTGACTGGCAAGTGCTTGGAGCAATTGGTCGATGCTGTCGCATCGGACATCCGCCTTAATGAAGGCAGCTGCTAGCATCGATGCTTCATTCCGTCTGACTGAGTCCATCCGGGTCAAGGCCTCCTCAGCAAGTGAGATTAGCAGCATGTCATCGTCAACGCCAGCGTCTGCAAACGCTACTGCAGTAAAGGCCAGCTGCAGTGTGCTAAATCCTCTGACTGTGTCTACCGCCCTGATGGCCAAGTGCTCAAACAACTCACCATCATAGCAGCCCAGCTTGGAGTATGCACATGCCACATGGGAAATCGTGTAAGGATCCAGAATGGCGCGCAAGGACATCACCTCTGATGCAAGAGCAGCAATCAGGCGCTGGTTTCCTTGTCGTTCTTTGCTCCATGTAGAGGTGATACATCTCATGTCACAGAAGCTGAGCTGGTTCACAAGGGGTGCCAACGTCTCCTCCACGGCGATCCTGAAATCGATGCTCGGTGTGTCAAATTTCGAACTCGCCACGATGAGGGCTACCAAGTGGCCCACGTTGAACTCTGCAAGGTGAAGAAGCGCCCGCGCGGCAACAGCCTTGGACACATTCGAGTTTGCAATGCCCAGGCTACCGCAAGTTGATGCGATAGCGGCTACCTGAGAGGGCGTGAATGCATCGAAACAGTCCACGGCCATGTCACGCACTGCTTGCAGAAGTGGTGCGTGGAAAGCGCGAACTGTTGAGCATGTGAACAGCAGGTCGACAAGTTGTCCGGCCGTAAACTGGGGAACCAAGCTCAAACTGCGCTCTGCGACACCATTCAACAGCGACCCCTCGAGCAAGCCTGCTGCTGCGAGTGCAGACATTACCCGCGTTGGCTCCTTGGGACCTTTTGGTTCCGTTTCAATCCATGTCGACGCAAGATTCTCCAAAAAGCCTTTGTCGCTCCAGCTGATCTTGCTAAAGGCATACAACATGGAAACAATTTGACCACTGCGCATCTGACCAAGCTTGCATCGCGTTGAGCTGCTGATTGCTTGGAACACGCTCCTCTCAACACAGGCTGCAGCTGCATAGTTCCAAGCAACTGCCTGAAGGGCCCAAGGGTCGAGTTCATGGGCTTGCGACTCCAAGGTCACTGCCAAAGCTCGAAATAACTCATTTTTTGGAGCACGTAGCTCAAACAATGCTTTGATCACTCTCACAGCAGCGTGCGCCGTCAGCTGTGGAGGTTGGGCTGTCATGGCCTTCAATGCTACATGAAGCAGCTCGGCATCTTGCGTGCCTGCCCGTCTGAGGGTGATAATGAAGTCAGCCCAGCGTTCGCTGGGCACTAAATGCCGCTGGTCCTTCAATTTCTGGCACATCGCCAACATCATCTCTGGGTGCTGCTGCGAGGCCACGGCAAAAGCCCCTGCCACGCGGATAGCATGGTCCGGCTGAAACTTCGCCAGGTCGTGCCGCACCACATCGCCAAGTGTTTTCCAAGGCTCGACCTGTGCCCAGCGTAGCGATGCCAAACTGCATGCCAGACTGGTCAACTCGTCTGGACGGCAGCCTTGCATACTCCCCCAGTTTTCAATGCACTTCCTGATAGCTGGGTCATCGCGAGTCCCGCTTTTCTTTGCCTGCCGTGCCAACTCTGCCATCCGGCGTGTTGTCTCAAACGGCTCTGGCACGCCTGGTGATAGATCCGCCTTGGTGCCTAGAGTCAAGCCCTGGCCATGTGGGCTGGACTGGCAGGCAGATTGCCGGCGCACGAGCAGGGAAGGTCGGGCCCAGGCCCTGCATGTTGGCGCCAGCCTCCAAGTCAGCCAGCATGGTATCATTCTCACATTTGCTGCGAGAGCTGGCAAAGAAGGCTACGGCATGCAAAGTGCTCCCACAAACCATGCAAACTGGAATGGTAATATACATCAGAACTTGGCAACATGGTATGGCGCTTGACTGCACGTTGCCAGTAGTGGATTTTTGGCCACCATGGGCCATTGATTCGGGGCCACGATGGGCGATTGATTCGGGGCCATAATCCGCCGACCCCTTGTCCTCAAAGGGGGGGGGGGCACACAGGAAGGGTGGAAGGTCATCACTATTGCATCAGCATGTGTTTCTTGTACATATATGAAGTGTGGGGCTAGGCTCAATCAGTGATGCAGAGGATGCTACGATGATAGTTATGGTCACAATCCCTCATCATCATCATCATCATCATCAGCGTTAGGCTCAATTGGTGCTGCAAAGGATGCATTTGTGATGCAGAAAATGTTACGACGACCATTAAGTTGGCTTTGGACCATGCTCATCCGAAACTTGCTCGGATGAGCATGTTGACAGCTGGTGGAATTGGCCCGCTACACACAATCAGCATCATCATCATCACCATCATCATCCAGTATTGGTTTCTTCTGCATACTTGACGTGTGGCGTTAGGCCCAATTAATGATGCAGAGGATGCTGCTATGATACTTATGATCACAATCTCTTAGCCCAATTGGTGATGCACAGGATTACAGGATGCATTGGTGATGCAGGCGACGCTACGAAGAGAATTAAAAATGCGTTGGACCATGCTCATCCGAAACGTGCTCGGATGAGCATGTGCTCGTTGACAGCTGATGGAATTGGCTCGCTAGACACATGATCATCATCATCATTCTCACCATCATCATCCAGTATGTCTTTCTTCTGCATACTTGAAGTGTGGCGCTGTGATGATTATCCTCGTAGCTACTGGAGATGCTAAGGATACGTAGTGACGGTCATCATCGTCAGTGATGATTATCATCATCCTGCTCTGCGCTGATGGAGATGCTAGAGCTGTGTACTGATGATTATCGAATCGCTGCTGGAGATGCTATGGATGCGTAGTGATGATTATCATTCACGCGGCTCGTTGCCGGCGATGCTGTGGCTACGTCGTGATGATCATCGCCTTTGTATTCCTGTTATACACATTTCAACAGTCACGTTAGGCACAGTTGGAGATGCAGGCGATGCGTAGTGATGCTTATCATCATCCTGATCATCACTGCTGGAGATGGTATGGATGTGTAGTGATGATTATCACTCACGCGGATCGCTGCCGGCGATGCTGCGGCTACGTAGTGATGATCATCGCCTTTGTATTCCTAGTATTCACATTTCAAAAGTCACGTTAGGCACAGTTGGAGATGTCGGCGATGCGTAGCGATGCTTATCATCATCCTGATCATCACTGCTGGAGATGCTACGGATGCGTAGTGATGCTTATCATCATCTTGATCATCACTGCTGGAGATGCTATGGGTGCGTAGTGATGATGATCATTCACGCGGATCGTTGCCGGCGATGCTGCGGCTACGTAGCGATGATCATCGCGTTTGTATTCCTATTGTATACATTTCACAAGTTACGTTAGGCACAGTTGGAGATGCCGGCAATGCATAGTGATGCTTTCGATGCGTAGTGATGATTATCATTCACGCGGATCGCTGCCGGCCATGCTGTGGCTACGTAGATGATCACCGCCTTTGTATTCCTGTTATACACAATTCAAAAGTCAGGTTAGGCACAGTTGGAGATGCCGGCGGTGCGTAGTGATGCTTGTCATCATCCTGATCATCACTGCTGGAGATGCTACGCATGCGTAGCGATGAGTATGCGGATCGCTGCCGGCGATGCTGTGGCTACGTAGTGATGATCATCGTCTTTGTACTCCTATTCTCGACATTTCAATAGTCACGTTAGGCACAGTTGGAGATGGCGACGCGTAGCGATGCTTATCATCATCCTGACCATCACTGCTAGAGATGCTATGGATGAGTAGCGATGATTATCACTCACGCGGATCGCTGCCGGCGATGCTGTGGCTACGTAGTGATGATCATCGCCTTTGTATTCCTATTATAGACGTTTCAAAAGTCACGTTAGGCACAGTTGGAGATGGCGATGCGTAGTGAGGCTTACCATCATCCTGATCATCACTGCTGGAGATGCTACGGATGCGTAGGGATGCTTATCATCATGCTGATCATCACCGCTGGAGGTGCTATGGATGCGTAGTGATCATTATGATCGCTGCAGGAGGTGCTAGGGATCATTGCGAGGATCGAGATGCTGTGGCTGCGCAATGATGATCATCGCTTTTATTCTTATTATACACATTTCAATAGTCACGTTAGGCACAGTTGGAGATGCCGGCGGTGCGTGGTGATGCTTATCATCATCCGA